GAGGTGAGGGGTGCGGGTGGGGGGAAAGATGGTGGTTGGGGAGGGGGGGGGTGGAGAGTCAGTCAGGAGGGAGAAGATTGAGTGGGGCACAAAGGGGCGATACATCGCCTTCCCTCATTAACACTAAAGTGCCGTAGTTCAAGCAGAAACATAACAAAACCAAGTCAACCTAGATGTGGGTCGGTACCAGGGCAGGGTGCCCTGACACAGTAAATATACCAGTGCGGGGAGACGGAGCGAGACACTGGTGTGGGTGTTTTTGCGGGGAGGAAGCAGAGATTCAACAACCACTGGAGCTTTCTTCCAGCTCAGTCACTCAGAGCACCCGAGAGCACCCTATTTTGGTCCCTTCCTCCATCCCTCGTGTCGTTTCCCGAACGCGATCCAGCGCAGCAGACAAAGCAGCCGTTTCTAAAGCAAAACGACATTCTCCCCCTAGTCCCGTAGCTCGGTAACTTGGTCACTCCATCCACGACTTGTTTGCGGGGACGCTGCTGTGCGCAAACAGCTGCCGGGTTTCACCCACAAAACATACAGTCGATTCACTTTACAGTACAACCGATGAAGCGTTTTGAGACGTCTCGATGATGTGATAAGGCGTTACATCAAATGCAAGGATTATTATTATTATTATTATTAACCTGGTCGAATTAGCGATGCATCGGTCGACCGTTTCCCCGGTTTAACACAGCGTTTACCGAAAAACTCGGCACCGACTTCCTCGAAGTCGGGAGGGACTTTACAGCGCGTCACCAGAACCATTTCAGGAGATTTTCAACCACTTTCTGCGGTCCGTTAAATGCTGCTCTTATTCAACCCGAAACGGGCGGCTCGAGATTGGCATTCAGTGGCATTTTTTCACATTAAACATTTTTCACACATTAGGCACTTGGCTGCTGATTCTCAAACAAGCTGTTAGTACTGATGTCGGTTGAGCTTCGACAACCATCTCGCTGGTTAATACACATTTATTTTTCGAAGGCGACTGTTGACTTTTACTGTGTTGCACCAGATGGTTGTCCTGTGTTTCAAAGGGAAGGACTGATCGGAAGTAAGGCGTTTTGACTCAGAACAGCTTGAACTGAACCCAAAGCACATCAATGGCAGCAGAATATATCACAGCACCTAATTAAATATGATATTTCTTTAGCTCTTCGACCAAGAGAAAGGCTCCCATAAACTACACGGTCTAAACCGGAGCTCGCAGGGAGATCGCTTTTCATCTTAAATTGGCTCGGTGAAATTTTGAAGCAGTGCGAAATCGAAACGCACACGCTTAGAAACAGATGCACGCTTAGAAACAGACGCACATACAAACGCAAACAAACACACGCACAAACACACAGACATACACATATACAGCAGACAAACAAACATGCAAGGACACGCATGAACGTACATAGAAATAGGCTCTCACACACGCACGCACACATACAGACACAGCTTCAGCCTCTCTCGCGGGTGTTTGAGACTGGTACTGGGTTGAAGTCCTCTCTGGTTCTCTCCTCCTTTCCTTTCAGTGCATCATCTCTGCTCATTGCCTCTTTGCCAGAGTAGCCTGTGAAGGACCCAGAGGTGCAACTCCTCACCCCACATCAAAGCCTCGCCAGCATGTGACCGAAAGTGTGGTCGAAAAAGATAAGTCTTAAGACGGGCTTTAAAGGTGTGGAGGGAGGATACGGGCGAGACAGAGGGACTCTGGGATGGAGTTCCAGAGAGGCGGTTGAGGGAGGCCTCAGAGGGAGGGCGTGGATGGGGTTTGAATGCGAGGGAGAGGGTAAGTAGAACTCTTTCCATTTCGGGCACACGATGCCAGCATTCAGCGTTGCCTGGTCAGGGACACAGAACTCCGCTGGACGCAGGGCAAAGCTACCGCTGAAGGTTTTTTTCTCTCTCAGCCCAGCCACCTCGTGCCCTCTCACACAACAACAACAACAGATTACATCTGTACAGCGCCTTTCACGCCAGGAGAACGTCCCAAGGCGCTGGACAGTCAGGGATCCGTGGTTGGGATCAGGAGGGGCGGAGGGCGGGGATGGTAGGGGTAGGAGGGTGACCGAAAGCACAGTCAAAGAAGAGGTACTTGAGACGGGTTTTGGGGTCTGTGCAGTAATCCCATTCCCACTGGGAACCAGGCGAAGATTTCCCAAAACAACGCGACAACAGTGGACAACGACAGCAGCTTGCGTTCACATAGCGCCCTTCACGTCTCGGATTCAAACCCGAGTCACGGAGGTGAAAGGCGGGGTGTAATATGAATTGGACGGCACTTGCTGTGCGGATACCCGGGCGTGCCGAGGAAACAGAGAAGCGCTCAGCGAGGTTGCAGAAGCAGTTTCAAAAAAAGAGCAGCCGGGTTCACTCGAGGAACGGATGCCCGTCAACTCAGGCGCTGAGGGCGACTTTCCAGTAAAATATTCCTAGCAGTGGAATCAACGTTCCCTGCATTAGTGTCATCCTCACCAGTCACAGCACTGTAATGTAATGCCTACTTTAAGCA